GCAGAAAAGAGAGAGAGAGAGAGAGAGAGAGAGAGAGAGAGAGAGAGAGAGAGAGAGAGAGAGAGAGAGCAGGGGGAGGAGTTGGAGATGGGGAACCTTACCAGGGTGGACGCAGGACGATGAAGAAAGCTGCCGAACACAGCGGGAGACAGAGGCAGAGACTTGGAACTCATTTGAAAGTTTGAATCGCGGAGGGAAGTGGCTATGGTATGGAGGGTATTCTGCAACGTTGTCCACCTGGTATGGAGGGCAAACCGGGTAAAACAGGGTGCAGGTGCAGGCGCAGGACCCAAAGTCGCGGTGCAGATTGCAAATTTGCACACGGGCCTGACGGGCAAAACACAAAGATTTAGGCCCAAAAGGGCATTTGGCTCTACCCACCTCTTTTAGGGGCATTTTGGCATCGTCCTCCAGTTATAGGGGTATTTCGCAAATTATCGCCCTCCAAAAAAAAAACAAAAAAAAACGGTAGTTTTGATTGAATGGCGAGGATGGAGTGTGGTCAGAGAGGAGCTTGGGGGGAGTGCGGGGCGTGGTCCGACTAGCAAAGAGGATCGGATGGGATGCCCGAATCTGGACGTAATTGTGAAGAGGTGCAGGAAATCGAGATTGAACTGCTTTTCTGCACCTCTGCCTAAAACACGTCCAGATGCAGGAGCTTAATCCAATCTTCTTTGCTAGTGGGACCGTGCCCCGGTGGCACTATACGATGATGTAACGGACGCTGGGCCCCGATTCCCAATTCCCAGCTTAGATAGAATTGATTGGATTTTTTTTTTTTTTTTTTTTTTTTTTTTGGGAGGAGGGGGTTGGATGGTCCAGTATATCTATTTGTGGTAATTAATCTGGTAGGTCCTAATGGAACGTCTCCTCTCCGATCTAGATGGGAGCAAGTGGGACATCGCGGTGTAAATGGGACCCAAGCCCCTCGGTCCCTCTGTGCAAGTGGGACCCCGCCCCCTCCTTCTCCCTTCTCCCCTTTATCAGTTAAAATGGGACCGCTCCTCTTAGTGGGTGCAAGTGGGACCCCAACCCGGACTGCGACCGGGACCCCAACCGGGACCCCAATCGGGACCCCAACCGGGACCCCAGTCGGGACCTCGCCCCCTTGAGTGCCAGTGGGAGCATGAATGTGGTCGTGCTCGAGCGTTTCGTTCTCTCTTCCCTTGTCCGCCCTCCCCTCCTCTCCCCCCTCCTCTCCCCGGTATCCCCGGGGGGGGGAGGGGGGGGGAGAGAGAGAGAGAGAGAGAGGGAGAGGGGGGGGGGGAGAGAGAAAGGTCGGGGAAGAGGGGGCGGGGGGGGAGGATTGGGGTGGGGAAAGGCGGGGGGGCAAAGGGGAAGGGGGCGCAGGAAGGAAGAAAATGGGCGTTGGATGGATCCGGGCTGTGCGGGCGACCGTGTCCCCATCTTTTCTTCAATCGAACGAATAGAACGGGACTAATGGGGGGATATCTACGGTAGAAAACACTTTTTTTTTTTCTTTTTTTTTTGTCTTTCTTTTATTTTCATTTCCCCCTTTTTTTTTTTAAGTAGAGAGGCTTTTTTTTTTTTTTTTTTTAGTAGAAAAAACACTTCAAGTAGGTGCTGATACATACATCGTCACGAACACACCAAGGGCGTGGTCCCACTAGCAAAGAGGATCGGATCGAATGCCTGGATCTGGACGTGTTTGCGGAGAGGTGCAGGAAATCGAGATTGAGCTGCTTTTCTGTCTCTACGCTTAAAACGCGCCCAGATTCAGGAGGTTAATCCTATCCTCTTTGCTAGTGGGACCTCGGCCCAAGCCACAAGCAAGCATTATGCAAGCGCAAGTGTATACCTCGGAGTCAAACGCCGTTGCCAGCGTGGACGAGTCCCGACCGACGAATTATAACAATGAATTCTTGAGAATTACAACCAAA